GTTGCTTGAATTGAGGTTTGTGAAACAGTGGCTGAAATTAAATCAGCCTATAACTTTTGAAGCTTTCAACTCTTGCCATATGTTGGGGGTCATATAACAAACCCCAAGGCCTTGCTGTTCCTCAGGTGTTTTGGCAAAGGTATTCTCTTGTAGAGCAGCACCAACGCTTGTGGAGATCTGGGCAAGGAAGAGAAGTCAATTGATTTCTCCACTCTGGCTCAGCCACCCTATTTCCCAGAGCTTTCTAAAGTGCTTGTGGCCGGCTGTGGCTTGCCCTAGTAGCTGTGGCAGAGGGGATTTGGACAGGGGCTTAGACCAGGTGGCCTCTAGAGGCTGTGTTCATAATTCTAGTTGGGACACTTTGAGCCTGAGAGAGGTTTGTTGCTGAGTCGTGTGTGTCCCCCCCCTTTGTACACCAACGATGGGATTTGAGGGCAGCTGTGCAGTGTTTATATATAAAAGAGCTTCAGTGCTCTGTGCATTTGCTTTGAGGTTTGAGTTCCTAAATGCTGAACCTGTGCAGCAGAGGCTGGTGGCACCTCTGCAGCTCCTTTGTGCAGGAGGCACGTCTCGCTGTTTGTCTAACCCGGGTTAGCGAGTCTCCTATGAAATGAAGGAAGTTGTAGCCATTCATCTTCCAGCCTAATGGACCACAGAAATTACAAGCTGTAGCATGCAGCTTAATCTTGCCACGAGGCAGAGTGCTGCATACTTTGCCTTCAATTTATGCATGCCGTGCCTTTTTATTAAATGTAAAAGAGCAGTTGACAGGATTTCTCCAGAGGACTTGCTTTGGCTACGCTTGGTAGATAGCCAGCACATTTCAATACAGTGCAAGTGAATGATGGTGGTTTCTGTACCATTCATAACAACCACCTTTGAAATCTGAGGATGGAGTTATGGGTTATCCTCTGTGTGTCAAGCAGCAGAGGAGAGTGAGGCAGCTATTTTAGTTTTAACCCTGCAGATGACACACTTCTTGAAGTATATCTGTTGCCGTTACGAGATGCAGGAAGGGCCGGAGCAGCGGTTGCACATCTGTGCATGGACAGGCCTTCGCCCAGGGATGGCTCTTTGCCGCTTTCTTTTCTCTGTTCCTCCTTGTATTATAACTTTGAATTGTCTCTCTGTTGTTGCAGTGTGCAGAGGAGTGAATGCCCCATGTTGTGTTAGTGCCTGTCTGCCATGCTGGCCTGTCTGCCAGGACCAGGTGACCTCTCCTTTCAGCTTCTTTCTTACACGCAGATGAACACTGGACTTCAGAAATGTGAGTGACGTTTTGTCTGCAGGATGTGGTTAACTGTTAAATCTGGCTCTGGTACAGCTCTGACATAAACATTTAGGATACAGTGGAAAAACTATTTAATGTTAGAGTCTTTATTTTGTTATGCCTTCAAGGCATCCATCAATAATGGCTCTGAGAAATGGCTGTGGAGGTTCATGTGTGTGCTGCAAGCTCTCCCCCCCTTCCTGGCTTTATAAAGGTTAATTTTAACCACAGCAAGATGAAATGCAAGTGAGGTTTCTGTGAGATTCGTGCCTCTCTGCTGAAAACATTTTGTGCTAAAAGTGTGCCAGCTGACTTGCTTCTTCACACAGCTTTTTCCTGAGTCTTTTTCACTTCCATTCGTTTAATTACTCGTAGAACCCAATAAAAGTTGGATCAGGGTAATGCAAACCTTTTGAGGTCAGCAGCTCTGTTGTTCTACATACCTGGGGCATATACTGCAAATATTAGTGATCTAGCCCAAATTACTAAAGTTCAAAGTTTCCTTCTTCTTTCTGACTTCTCTTTGGTGCCTCTGAAAAGATGTCTGCAGAGTTCTCTGGGAATTCTTTTTTGATAACCTCCAGTCATTTTTTTGATGGGTGTAAGAACAACTTATGCTTGGGAATGTAAGGTCACTGGCTAGACATTTATGTTAAATCTTACTCTGTCTCTCCTCTTTGTCACTGAAGTTGCATATTGATTGTTCAGCTGAAATTGCAGAAATCCCAAGGTTTCTACAGAAGATCTGTGTACTTGGTTCTTAGGGCTGTGACCTGGCTCTCCTGTTTGAAACGTGCGTTGGGAGATCTCTGTACCCTCAGTTTGCTGATGGACTCTGCTCTTTAAAACCCAAGTAGTTTACAGTCCAGTTGTAACCAAATTGTTAGTGTTTTAAGGCTTCTGATGAAAATAGGTAAGATAATATTGCAATTAAGGTGGACATGCTCAAAGTCCTCATCTTGCCAGAAGTGAATGACGCTGTTCGCGTACATACGTGTGCTCTCTCTCAGCACTTGCGTAGCATTTATGCCAACTCCACAGGCTTGGTAATTGTAATGACACTTCCAGCAGTAGTAAAAATCTTTATTCATGAAAGGACTTCCTTAGGTAGCATGAAACTGGGCAGCCCTCCTTTCTCTTTCCCATCTCCAGTTCAAGCTTTGCTGACCAACGCTTATTCAAAAGGTAGGCTCTTGTGAGAACGTGCCGAGGTCCTTGCATCATGTGAAGGTTCTTTGGTAGATCAGAAAGCTTAGTGCTGAAAGCAAATTGCTGAGGTTCATGTGAGGGTAACTGTGCATAAATCAGGTATTTGCTAATTACACCTTTACAAGGCAACATGCTGATATGTGGGTAGTTTCTTAACCTGGTGGTACCTGATGCTGTTTCTGAGAACCGCTTTTCCTCGTGCTGAAGCATCTCTGTATCCTGCTTAGGGAAGAGCTCTGGCTACTGCATTTAAAAGAATTGAGGACATAAAGTAGCTGGCAGGCAGTGGGAATGCTCAGCTGCTCCACTTTGTTCTGATTTATATGGAAAATGAAACTGCTTTTACAGACCTTGCTCACCCCTGCTGCAGATGTGTGTAAGATTAATTGGTGCATTTCTCTCCATACTGTATATGCACAAACAGTCTAGCCCCTGGCCAAAGGAGAGCTGACTTAATGAGTATTTTTAATGAACAGTGACTTGTGACTTTGGGGGGTTGGAAGTGGGCTTTAATAATAATGCTATTGCTTTTACAAAAGGCACAGAACTCCACATGATAACCTTTATTCAGATTTACAGTGTTTGTATTAATAATTTTTAAGTATAGTTTTCCAGATCAGACTTTTTATTAATGCTTCAAAATCCACATTAGCTCAATTATCTTTTTTTTTTCCCTCTTCACTTTCAAATAAGAGGCTTTTTTCTTAAAGCTGGTTTGTACAGCAGGAGTTTTGAAGATTAATATGCACATGTTTTTTCCTTTCAAACTGATCACTACAGGACTTCCAATTCCACTATTTTCCTTTGAATTCCAGCCTGCATCACAGGAAAGGCTCACCCTGAAATCGGGATACTCAAGGCAAGAGTGTTTGGGCAGCATCCACAGCTGCTGTTGGATATAGAGGCAGTGATGCTAAGTCTGAGTAAGAAAGGGTGATTTTTACAACAGTGGCGCAAAGTCAAGGTGAAAGGTGCTTCTTGGAGGGCTCTTGTTGAGGGGGACAGGATGGATGGACAGAAGAGAGACGAGCAGGTTGGCACTGAATCTGGGTTCATCACCAAAATAGAGTCCTTTCTAGGGGTGAGGGCTCTTTCTGTAAAGCCTGTAGCAACTGAGATTTTTATGCAGAAGATGGGCACAGCTGGTTTTGGCTCATCCCAGTGTGGATGCTCTCATTAGGGTAGGGATCCTGAAGGCTTGTTTGTATGTTGTTTAATGTTAATGAAAATTTAATCGTGGGCAGTTTTAAAAGCAGTCGTTTTTAAAGCCTTCATGTGAAATGCACTTAAAAGATGTTACATTGGTGCTGAGGTGAGGCAGAGAAATCTCATTTCATGATAAAAATAGCTCCAGCGGTGAGATGCACACAGGGCCGTGACCACATGAGTTGGTTGCCACGGGATTAACAGGAGTGTGAACTTGCAGCTCACCAATTTACTGGGGTAATTGCTCACGTGCACAGCTTTACCTTACAGTACACATGAAATAATTACTTTCCAACAAAAGTATTCTGCCTGGCATTTACCATTAGGTAGCTTTGTGGAGCTCATCCCTTTGTTTTCTTAATGTAGCTTCTTATCTGCCATTCGCCTCATCATTTTATGGCCTGAATTCTTGCAGATGAATGATGAGCATATTCTAATACCAGCATTTCCTTTTGGTCTGTTCTAGCTGGTTTTCCATTCACTTACGTACCAGTCCTACCTGATCTTTACTAGTTTGTAGGGTATTTGTAGGGGATACTCAGACTGTTGCTCATCCTGTAATGCCTTTCTCCTAATTTTTTGCTGCCTTAATAATTACAGTCATTGAATCTTGCCTATGGAACTACTGGCAAAGCACATTTTAAGCAGCAGATTGGGGCACTCAGAAATACATCACCTTCAGGCCTGAGTAGAATGGCTGAGTTAGTTCATAGTAAAAGGAGCATAATCTCAGCTGTACGCAAAATGGGCGCTGTTTGACATGACAAATGGGATTTAAAAGATGGTTTGCCATTTGGTAGGATGCCAAACTTCATGTTAGTGCGTCATTTAAGTTTAACTGAGGGGTTATTTTCTCTCATCAGAGGAAGGAGTACTTCCAGATTTGGGATTACAGATGTGTTGCAACTGATAGCTGCAGCCTGTTCAAACACTGATGTTTTCGTTGCTTTCTAAAAGCTTCCATCGTAGTTCGTGTAAGAGACAAATAGATCCTTGGGTAAGAGAATATTTAGTGTATCTGTTTAGTGTTTATCTTTACCACCTAATTTGCTGGTATGACTATAGAAATGTAAACCAGGCTGAGAAATTTTGATGGTGAAGGTGTCCTAAAGTATCTGCTTAATTTTTCATCTGAAAATAAAAGCTTTATGTGACAATGCCATGAGCATAACGTAAACCATTACACAGACAGATGTGGGTTCCTTTGTCTGGTGTCAGTGTTTCTTCTCTGATGGTGAGTCGCAAGGGTCGTCTCTTGGGGAAGAAACAGAACTTTGTGAACATGGACAATGCCAAGAATAAAAGGTTGGGAGTTCATGAAGGCTTTGGCTTTGAGGAAAGGTAAACGCCATTACAAGGCTCTTCTCTGCGTTGGGAGCTCACTCCAAAGGACAGATATAAACCACCTGCCTGCAGCGACGGGTACAGGGATATGAACAGAGGGGACATTCAGGTTGATATCAAATGAGCATTTCCTTTGATGAAGAGAAAGGGTGGTGAATGCTGGTGTTTGGACAGTACAGGGAGTAAGAGTACAACTGGTGCTGTGGTACGTGCTGTGCCAGAGCCACAGGACAACCTGCTTGCAAAGCTTCTTATGTCACTAAGATACTTTTAATATTTCTATAATTGTCCTACCTTTGGGTATCCATTTTCTGACCCTTAACTTTCTGAAAGTGAGTGCTCTTAGAGCAGTGCTGCTCTCCCTCACCTGTGATGACTGGAAGCTGCAGGATACAGAGAGAAATGCCTGGTACTCATGTATTCAGGAGTCTTTTGGAGGCACTCACTTAAAAGAAGCAGAGGTGGAATGGCCCAACTCTGCTTGGAATATAATTACAGCAAGAGATGCACAAGCGTTTCCATACATGTCTAAAGTTCTTTCCAGAAGCAGTTGGAGCTTGTGGGCAAGGTAGGTATCAGGTAAATCAGAGTAATCCCACGCCCCTGTCTCCAGGTCTTTTGTCTGTGTCTGGGCAGTAGCTTATCTTTAATCTTGTGAGGAAATCATGTAAGGTTGCTGTGTGATACGAGGATGCTGTCCTTAGCAAGGGGCCACGCTGAAAAAATAATTGCAAGCCATAAAATAACGCATGTGGAGCCTCCTTCCATTTGCTGAACTTGGACTGACAAGAGCTTCCTAATGGACAAAAAGACACTCAAAGTGCTTTCAGATGTCAGCATCTAGAAGAGAACTCAGATATAAATGGAGGCTTGAGCTGAAGGGCTTCGCATGTGTTCTGGGCTTCCATGACAAGGTTTTGGTAGCGGGGGGGCTACAGGGGCAGCTTCTGGGTGATGCTTCTAGAAGTTTACCCTGTTCCTGATGGAGCCAAGAGGGACCTGCTGCTGGGCAAGGCCAAGCCCATCAGTGATGGTGGCAGCACCTCTGGAATAATGTATTTAAGAAGAAGCGGGGGAAACTGTAGAACTGCAGCCAAAGAGGAGTGAGAATATGTGAGATAAAACAGCTCTTCAGACACTGAGGTCAGTGTGGAAGGAGGCAGGAGGTGCTCCACTCGGAGCACAGATTCCCCTACAGCCCATGGTGAGGACCATGGTGAGGCAGGCTGTGCCCTGCAGCCATGGAGGTCCATGGTGGAGGAGAGATCCACCTGCAGCCCGTGGAGGACTCAACACCAGAGCAGGGGGTTGCCCAAAGGAGGCTGTGACCCTGTGGGAAGCCCGCGCTGGAGCAGGTTTGGTGCAGGACCCGTGTCCTCATGGGGGACCCACGATGGAGCAGCCTGTTCCTGAAGGACTGCACCCTATGGAAGGGACCCATGCTGGAGCAGTTCATGGAGAACTGGAGCCAATGGAAAGGACTCACGTTGGAGAAGTTCATGGAGGACTGTCTCCTATGGGAGGGATCCTATGCTGGAGCAGTGGAGGAGTGTGAGGAGTCCTTCCCTGAGGAGGAAGGAGCAGCAGAGACAACGTGATGAACTGACCACAGCCCTTCTTCCCTGTTCCCCTGCACCACTGGGTAGGAGGAGGTAGAGAAAATCAGGAGTGAAGTTGAGCCTGGAGCAAGGTGGGGGTGGGGAGGTGCTGGGGCGAAGATTCAGATTTTATTTCTCATTTTCCTACTCTGATTTGTTTGGTAATAAACTAATTTCCCCAAGTCAAGTCTGTTTTGCCTGTGATGTTAAGTGCTGAGTGATCCCTCCCTGTCCTTATCTCAACCCAGGAGCTTTTCATTCTATTTTCTCTCCCCTGTCCAGCTGAGGAAGGGAGTGATGGAGCAGCTTTGGTGGGCACCTGGAGTCCAGCCAGGGCCAACCCAGCACAGTATGGTTCCCACCTCAGGATTATATGTGTTTAGTGTTTAATTCATAACTTTCTGATTTTCAATTACATGGTAAAGATACTGAGAATGGCTGGAAGAGCTGTGGGGGAGGTAGCCTTAAATTAGGAGACTAGAAACAAGGCCACTACCACAAACTGTAAGAAGTGTTTCAGGCTGGAGACAACCCAATGTTCATAGCACGTTACCTGTTTTTGTCCAGCTATAAACATACTCTGATGAAAACAGTTTTTGTTTTACTCCGATAGGCAGGTCTTGCCTTAAGCTGAACTGGGGCTTGTGTTGGTCACCAGGTAATAAAGGGAATGAGGCATCTGGTACATGACCCGCTGGTCTGGGAAGATGAGGTTCTTGCCTCTTGATTCCTTGGAGATTTTCTACTCTTGTTGTGCAACTGTCTTGCCCTGGGCTTGATCCTTTGCTTACCAGGATGCGTATTGATGATTTTCCTTTTGTCCACAGGGGACACTACACAGAAAATGAGATCTGCACAGTATCCTACCCCAGCAGAATTGGATGCTTATGCTAAGAAGGTCGCCAACAACCCACTGACTATAAAAATCTTTCCAAACAGTGTCAAGGTTCCCCAGAGGAAACACATACGCCGTACTGTGAACGGACTTGATACTTCGGGCCAGAGGTATAGTCCTTACCCATCTCAGGCCACCACCAAAACAGGCCTCCTGGCGATAGTCAAATCTCCAGCAAAAGGAATTATCAAAGACTTTGACGGGACACGCACGCGTCTGCTGCCGGAAGCGATGATGAATCCCCCTTCCACCCCTTACGTTGCACCTAGCACTTTAACCCACCCCCAGGCGCTTGCTCGCCAGCAGGCTCTCCAGCATGCACAGACTTTGCAGCACCCCCAGAGTATCCCGCAGCCACAGACTTTGCAGCACCCTCAGGGTATACCCCAGCCACAAAGCTTACCGCACCCTCAGGGGATCCCGCAGCCGCAGGCGCTGCCGCACCCTCAGAACATGCAGCAGCCTCAGGGCTTGCAGCATCCTCAGACCATGGCACACCAGACTCTGCAGCACCCCCCAAATCCTTTGCTGCAGCCGGGTTTACATGGAAGCAGAAAGATGCCGGATGCAGACGCGCCGCCGAATGTGACCGTGTCTACCTCAACCATTCCCCTCTCTATGGCTGCCACCCTGCAGCAGAACCAGCCACCGGACCTGAGCAGCATTGTGCACCAGATTAACCAGTTCTGCCAGGCCAGAGCTGGCATTAGCACTACCTCAGTGTGTGAGGGACAGATTGCAAACCCCAGCCCTATAAGTCGCAACCTGCTTATCAATGCAAGTACCAGGGTATCTACTCACAATGTCCCTACACCCATGCCTTCCTGTGTAGTTAACCCTGTAGATCATGCTGCTGCTGCTATTCCTCCTGCCTCTGTTAATGTGCCCATGGTGAATATTAACAGGGTGCCGCCCGCGTACCAGAACGAAATCAAATCGGTTGCGTGGAACCAGCACCAGCTTGCACATCTGCAGCAAATGTGTGGGGATGCTGCTGGGCCTGCTGGACTCGCAGGGAAGCACCCTCAGAGAGAGATCACAGGGCAGAGCTTCCCTGTCAAAACTTCAAACTACCCTCAAGAACTGTGCATGGGCCAGTCCTTCAGCTTGAAGCCCCCCATCGAGAAGCCTACACCTTCTCCACCTGTGAACGGGTTGCAGGGACCCTTGCCATATACCAATGGGCACTATTTCCAGCCCATCTGGAATAACATTCTGCCCACACCCAACAGTGACAGCTCTGGGTCCCAGGACCTCGCCATGCCTTTCCACGGGGGACAGCCAGCAGGAGCACCGCTAGATTGTGCAGGAGGAACTCATTACAGAGCTGGAGCTGGCCCATCCAGCCAGAATAATGTGATGCAGACCATGGATTACCTAAGTGGGGACTTCCAGCAGTCCTGCTTCAGAGATCAGAGCATGGCCGTGCTGGGAAAAGTCCATCGGCCTCCCATGAACCGAGCACCTGAACCAACCGATAGTCGAAATCTTCATATTCAACACCCAGGGTATAGATAGGCTGCAGTCACTTTCACAGACAAAAAAAATAGAGGTTTAGTCTTAATTTTAATTAATAAGCAAGGCATTTTTAACTTGCAAACTTGTGTGATCATTATAGTAACCATCAGAAGACAACATACTGTATATTTAGAAGCTTTGCTTACATGTTACCTATCTCCTTTCTGTATCAGATATTTAACATGCCTTTTGTGTCAGAGAATTTCATTACACTACTTCACACCGCAGCCCTTTCCTCACACAGAACCCCCCTTTTTGTGCAGCTTCTGCCTTCCACTTAGCAGCTCCTTGCTGGACTGATGTTGAGTTGCTGCAGGGTTTCGCCAGCTCAAGAGCGAGATAGCGTAGCTGCTTAAATTTCCATCTCCATTTCCTCTGAAGATTAAGAGCAACAGGATTTGTCAGGAAGTAGGGCTTATTTTCAACTCAAAAGCCCATTTCATTAATGCATTAAACATTGACCGTTTGCACTGTCTAGAGGCCTGTTTAATTGAAAAAGGAGCCTACGTTTGAAACGAGCTAGCTACGGGGATGTATTTGGGCATTAATATAGGAAGAAGCTTTTCAGCTCTTCCCTGCCCACCTTTATCATTTTAGACTTTGTCCAAAGTCAAAAGTCTCTGGCAGGTATTTCTGACACTTCTTTCTTTTGCAGACAGGGTATGGAGGAGGGGGGAATGGTGGGTTTAGGAGGCAGCATAGCTGCCATAGGTAGCTGCCTTTTCTCTGCATCGTATTTCCCTTCCCCACTCCCTTTTTGCCTAAGAGCTAGCTTTGTCTGAACCCCTCGCTGCTAGGAGTCTGGCTGTCCTGACGTGAAGGGAATCCAGACCCACTGACAACTCCAAAAAGGGTTCAGCTTTTTGGTAGCTAAAATGAATTTCAGGGTGAGGAGACGTAATCAATGCTTACGGCAGTGTGGCACAGTCCCATTGCTGTGAAGCGCCGCTCATGAGCCACCGTGGGACCAATGGTCCCGTATTCCTCTCCTTCAGAACACCACAGCAGGTTTAACAGAACTATTCCTCTCCCTGGGGATTAGCAGAGCTCTTTCTAACATCCCTCTATCCCAGGGTCTCAGTGCCTAACTCCTCTTGTTCCTTTCCCACATCACTTCCAGCAGCTAGTCAAGTCGGTGACCGTAGGACACTAACTATTGAGTAACCTCAGCATCTTGTTCTCCTCAGCATTACCACAACACACCTTTTCCTTTCTAACAGCCGGATTTCTTGTAAGTAGAAAATTTCCTCATCTCTATTAATGAGACTAATACTTGAACATAATGATCACAATCAAGTTTGGAAATTAAAAAGAGAAAAAAAAAAAGAGAAAAAAATAAAAAAACAAATGCATTGATTCTTTATATGTACACTGGCTAAAAACTATTGCTCTACACTGTAACTTTTAAGTGTAATATTTCTGTATGAATGTCGCCTGGTAGTGTGGGTTTGAGTAGCATTGTGTATGGGTGAACCCACTTGGCCTCTGCCATCCACTGGCCTCCCTCACAGCCCTTGGAAACAAACAAAGCCTTAAGTATTTGCTCCTCGAACTTTTCCTTCACGAGCATGTTTTCAAAGAAAAAAAAACGAATCAATCTTAAAAGACATCATACAAAAGTTAAAAACACACCGAAAAAAAAGAAAAAGAACAAAAAAAAAAGAAGTAACCAGTTTTGAAGTGGCGTCCTAGTTGGCTAGAGATTCTTTACAAGTTTTTTGGTAAATGGAGAAATTAGGAGACATTTCTTTGTATTTTTTTAAGTTAGACGTGTAGTCCTGGGCTGTAACAACTATTTAGGTTTCAAAGCTTAGCAGAGTACGTTTCCTGACTCCTTGCGTAAGTTAGTACACTTATGGCATTATTTAAATCCCTTGAAGTGTACTCTAAACCGTTCTTTAGTGGGAACTCTTTTAGCAAAGTGAAGCAATTTGACTAAAGACGGATTAAATTATGTGTTGGCTTGTGTTGCCTTATATTTAAAAAGAGAAAAGGAAGACTTGCCTGATTGTGTTATGCCAAATGATAGCAACATGAAGTCCTAATTTATTGTTTATAATCGTATTCCTGCAGTCTTTGTGAAAACTGGTAAATATACATCTATGAAAGAACTAAAACCCTGAGGCTTTTCATGCAATATTTTTCTCAATACATGATAGTGGAAGCCAAGGTTTGAGTCTGAAGCTGCTCCCCTTACGGTCTCCCCACCGTGTCCCCCCATCCTACCCCTCCTATACCGATCTAGGGCTGTGCGATGACTTTAACCTGCTGAGTTAGTTCTGCTACCTGAATCCTTTCCTTTTTACTAAATAAACTACTGGCGTCTCCTCTGTTCAGTAGCCTGCTGCAAATCTCAACCCAGACTGTTATTAAAAGCTGATTTTTCTGCCTCCTGCTCTTCTCCTGCGAGAGAGAGACCGAGTGGAGTCCTGTGTCGTGCTGTTTGTGGAAGTGGTTTTGAGGCCTGGGAGGTGTTTGGGATCATTCTGCAGGGGCAGGCGCAGGGAGAGCGGTGACCTCTGAGACTTTGCCCCGGGGCAGCAGGACCGGGAAGCAAAAATACTCCTGAGATTCATCCAGGTGGGACATTGCTTGAAAAATGGGAATCATTTTACTATTAAAATATACTGAAATACTGCCTGTTGTTCTAGGAGTGAGATTTTTCTTTAAACCAACCCTTTTCACTTCAGCAGCAGCCTGGTGCTGGCAGGCTCCTCCTTCCTTTTCCTTCCCCACCACATCTGCTGTAAAGAGAAACACAAACCATGACCTGCTTCATTCCTGGGTACCACTTTCAGGAGCAAATGCTAAATTCACTGTGGGGGGATCCAACCCTGGCACTGTCACTCCCAAAGGAAAGAGCACATGAGGCACAAGCTGGTGGTGCGGTGCATGGCAGGAGCTGTGCTCTGCTGGAATCACTTGTTCACACATGGGTTTATTTCACACTCTGCCTGGTGTAGAAGTAAAGATAAAGGCCAGGGCCACATCTTCACCCTGGGCTCTCCCTGGTGCAGATGGGCTCCAGCCTTTAGGCTCTACACAATGCTTAGCTTGTCTGTCTGCAGGCTGGTGGCTTCCTGACGTCCAGCTCCAGCACAAGGCTTCTGTTCCCCTCACGGGTGCTTGGAGGTGACAGTTCTGCTCCTTGGG